AGATCATCAGGGCCTTGATTTTAAAACAGCAACTCTTCCCAACAGCAAAGAGGAACCCAGCTTTGTGGGAATGCTGGTGTTGGTGGCTTGTCCCTTCTCAGCTACGTTTTAATCACTGTCAAGGGGTTCAGTCCTTAAAATGTTTGGAGCACCTACTATGTTACAGCAAGTGCATAAGCTTGATTTCTAGAGTGGCTTTCAAGATGCTGGTCAAAATAGCAGCGTTTATCAACGAAGCTGGCATGGGAGCCTGGCTCTACTCTGGGAGCTCTACAGTGTCAAAGTGGTGCCCACAAACAGGTCTCAAAGCAAAAAGAGGAAGAGGGTTCGGCCAGCTGTGGCTTTCATACCTACTCGAGGCTGAAGCTGTTGCTTCATGAAAAGCAGAGTCCATTTGAAAACCACAGGTGAGCTCTGCACAGGAATGATGCTGGATGGGAACGTGCTGCCAAGTAATTTGCATGGACAAAGCAAGGGGGCTGTTTCCCCAGGGCTGGTGCAAGCTGGGGTGTTATAAAGGGTTCTGTCCCACCACTGCAGAGCTGCAACCCGTGTGGGGACTGTGTTTGGTGGGGGCAATGGCCTGGCAGTGGCAGCTGTGACATTCCCAAACAACTGTTTTCTAAAGCTCCCCTTCAGGTGATGATTTGGGAAACCGCTCGGCGAAGGTCCGGGGGAGCTGGCACAGGTAACCCAGTTCGCACCCAGCCTCTGGAAACGCGCAAGAGGCGGAGAGGGAAGGGGCGGCGGGGGATGGCGGGGTTCGTGTCCCCCCGAGGCAGGACAGGGGAGCCCGCAGCGGGAGCGGGACCGCGGGAGCTCCGCGCTGCATCCCGCGGGGAGGCGAGGCGGGGCAGCGCCGCCCGAGGGGGGATAAAACCGGAAAATAATAATTATGCGTAAACGAAAGAAAAAAACCCACCCCAAGAGCGGCTTGCGGGGGGGTGGGCGGACAGGATGCGGCTGCCCGGGGGGGAAACCTGCCCTTCCCCGGGGCGGAGCGGGGCCTCCCTCCCCTCCCTCCCTCCTTCCATCGCTCCCTCCCTTCTTCCCTCCCTCCTTCCCTCCCTCGCTGCCGCCGCCGGAGCGGAACCGAAAGCGAAGGCGGCGCCGGGCGGCCGCGCTCCGGCCCAGGGCTGCGGGGTCTGCGGGGGTCGCGGGGCCGCTCCCCGCCGGCGCAGAGGCGCGTCCCGCCAGGTCGGTGCTGCGGGAGCGGGCGGGGAGGCCGGGCGGGCCCGCGCGGGGGATGCGCCCGCGGCCGCGGAGACAAAGCCGCGCCCGGAGGGACCGTGCGGGCGGGGGCCGGGATGGAGCCGGGGACGGAGCCGGGGATGGAGCCGGGGTGGAGCTGGGGCTGCGGGCAGCGAGCGGCATCGCCTCCGGACGGGGCTCCCCGCGGGTTCGGGGCCGGCCTGTGCGGGCACTCGGGGCTGTCATTTCCCCATCCCGCTCCCACGAGCTGCGCCGTGGCCGCCCGGGCCCCGCACATCCCACTCCCGCCGGCCCCGACACGCGCCGCGGGACCCGGCGGGATTCCGGGAGCGGGGATGGGACAGGGCGGGGTATCCCACAGACCCCATGGGGCTCCTGCCCGCGGGGGGCTGAGCGCTGGGACCAACGGGTGCCAGGGAAAGACAGGCCATGGGGTTGGGAAAAGGGGGGGAATTTTTAAGGTCAAGGGGCAAATGAGAGGCCAGAAGATGTAGCTGGTGGAGCAACTGCGTACAAGGGACGGGTCTCGTTAGAAACAGCCACAGGTTGGGTTGCTGCGAGTGACCGAGTGTGGATAGAGGTGGGATGCAGCCCTGTGGCCACGTGCACGGCACGGAGCATCAGGAGCGTGGAGGTGACAGTAAAGACCAAAAGCAGAAGCGAGGTGACCACAGGAAGCTGGTGTGATGGCACTGCGGGCTGTTTGTGCGGCTGTGCAATGCTACAGGGGCAGAAACCAGCCCTGGGGACAGGACTAGGTGATCCTCAGGGCCAGGGGGACCGTGCTCGGGAGAGGGTGTGTGGTTGGTAGCTGTGGGCACTGGAGTTCCCTTAATGGCCCCAACTGGAGAGATAGCCCTTCTCCTGGGAGAAGGAGCCCTGTCTTACTCCTGGCCCTTTCCATCAGCACTTTGTTTTGGGCAAAATAGCCAACAAACCCCAGAAGCCCATACCTGAGTGTGCCACGAGGGGTGTCTGATGGATCAGCCCTGTTCCAGGGAGGTAATTTGGAGGAGGCTTTGCTTTCAGCTCGGCCCTAATGTCTTTTAAGTGGCATTCAGAAAGTGCAGAGCTGCTCTTCTTTCCTCTCTTGTGGCCATTGCAGGCTGGAGCTGATGTTTCCAGGAAAGCCGGGAGCCGTTTGACAATGCTGGACAAGCTGATGGTGGTGGCCTGAGCTCATCCCAGCCCGTGCTCAAATGCAATATCTGGAGCTTACACTCTTGTCTTGGGATACTCATTATATATTGCTTAATCCTCAAGATTATAAAAAATCTTGGTAAAGATGTTTTTGTGACTCCTATTGAAATCTGCCTCTGGGTTTCACCCCACTACAATGCTCCCAGCCTCGCTTTGCATTTTTTCCCCAGTTCTTTCCCTGGTGTTGGATGAGCCAGGCAGCACGAGAGGCTCTTCTGTTCGCCCGAGGGATGATGAAAAGCTTCTCTGCTTCGGCACAGGGGCTGAGTGTAGATGGGGCCTGGTGCCTGTTTCCAGTATCTCATAATTTTGGGTGTCCTCTGACTTCTAGAGAAGCAGCTGAGAGATTTTTTTCCCATTAAAAGTCAGGTGGGGATGCATATGGTCTTTGTATACTACAGTGACTAATATATTTCTGGCAAGGTCTGCACTCACCCGTAGGAAGGGAAACTGTGATCGATGCCCCCATTGCTGCAGATGACACCACTCCTGGCACGGGCACTTCCACTGCTGACCGTGACCAGGGAAAGCAAAATAGCCACTGGACTCAGCCCAGGGAGACCAATAACTGCCCCAGGCTGGCCCCAGTTGGCTTTTAACCACAGACCTTCAGTGGCAGCAGGGGAGGATCCTCTGTGAGTAAAATCTGCCCTGGTTTAGGTGGTTTGAGTTCAGTTTTGTGAGCAGCTTGTTTTGCAGTGTGGGAGCTGACCCCCAAGGAAGGATGAATGGAGGTGTCACTGCTGAGCTGCCACCAAGTCTTACTGCCTTGGGAGGGTCTGATCCTGACACTGTGTCTGGCCTTGCCACAGGGAAGCACGTGGAAGGGGGAAGGCGAGTGCGTGGCAGCACCATCCCTTCGCCTGCCCTGCATGTGGGTAGAGAAGCAGCTCCAGGGAGGGAAGGGCAGGCTGAGGCATCCATATGCTCCCATTTAAATCTTGTGCTGGCTGCAAGGTGTCATCCTCTGCACTCCCCCAAAATCGGTCGGCGCGTTCCCATCCGGGGGTGGCTGCATCCCAGCAGGAAGCAGGCAGGATCCAGGCAGGGACCAAGCACTCACAGCAGAGCTGGGGCGGCCTGAGGGGGGCTGTGGAATCGCTTCACTCTCGTGGGGGCCGATTTCACTCCCATTCATTTCCGCTTAAGCCACGTGGGCACTGAGCGAGAGGCAGAGCTGCTGCCAGGGCTTCACAGACCTCTTTTCATTTTAATATCCCTCTCCTTGCTGAATTAGATGCGAGACTGATTGCTTCGATAATCCTGCTGCAGCCGCTATGGGTTATATATGGATTGCAGCCAAGAGCTGTGCCGATAAATCATTCCTATACACCAGGCTGTTATATTTCCTGAGGATTTTGTGGGCATGTGCTGCTCCCTTTTACATAAGGATCTGCTGGAGTTCATACCAGAATGTGCTGCTTTTCCCCAGGCAAGGACCCGGATGGGTTGGTGAAGCCAGAGCCTCCAGGCTATATTTCATCTCTTTGGGTTTATTCCCCCCATCCCAGCTACTTCACTTTTCCCTCTGGCTGGGAATATGGTTGTTTTCCTCCACCTCCTCCTCCTCAGCCTCCTGATGTGTTTATTAAGGATAACAGGGCTGTGTTCAACAGTGTGACCCCACTTTTGGGTTTCTCCTGGGGAAGGTGTCATCGCACAGGACAGTGTCTGCAAAACCCCATCCTCTGACCCTCTGCAAACATGCAAAGGGAAAACCCCTCAGATTTTCCACTCCAGCCGATGTTATGATGGGGCTTGGATGACTTTTAGCCTGTTTACAGAGCCTGGGGAAGCCTGCTTGAATTAATCAGACTTGATATGTTTATCCTGGTCAAGCCAATTAACTCCCGCCGGCCAGGACACGCTCAGCTCTTAAGTGTGACAAGACTTCATAACTCAATTTTGCTCTAGCCTGGCAAAGTTTAGCAGGAACCCTTGGAAATTTGGATGCTCGGGGGGCAGGATGGGATGCCTAGCAGTGCTGTGCCACTGCTGGGGACCGGTGCCGCTGCCAGTGATGTTCCTGGGATGGCTTCATCCCGGGGCTGCCCTGATGAGCTGCCTTTTTTGGTGTGGCCGCGGCGCCCAGTGAGGGTACAGGGCACAGCATTCGGGATCGGCTCCGGCTTCAGGGGCAGCTATTTATATGTGCCCGCTGGAGGGGTGCCCACAGCAAGCCAGGCAAATGGCAACTGGCCTCGAGATCCCCATGGATTCGGGATGAATGGGGGGCCTGCCTGTTTGTTTTAATCCGTTTGGGAGTGCATTAAAACACGCTGCCGTGGGCTGCCAGCAGCGCCAAGGGGGAATTTGGCTTGGCTGGTGGCTCCCGGCTCTCTCATCCAGCAAAACCCTGTCCAGGAGCGGATTCAGCCCCACCAAACGCGGCGTTTCTGAAATAGTTTGTCCTTGTTGCTGTTCATTGGCTTATTTATAGCCTCCCCATCCCTGTGCTTCTCTGTGCCTCGAAGCAGCCAAGCAGTGCCGGGTTGGCTTTAGCTCCAGGCCGATCCCACTTGGGCAAAAAGGCTCCGGTTTATAGATTGGTGTTGAAAACAGCAATTAGGCCATTGTGAAGCCTCGAGGACGGGGGAGACGATTTGATTTCTGTACTTGACCCATAATTTCTGCTGGGCTGATTCACAGTGGTTGTGGTGCGGGTGCATCACGGAAACTTCAATGGAGATGAGTGGAGCTAATTTTAACCGGCCGCCTCGTCGAGGTGTGGGAACCAGGCAGAAAAATGCCTCAGACCCTGTTCCTGCTTCAGGGCTGGTTTTTCAGGATATTTTTTTTCTCTCCTTTCTGCAGCAACTTGTTAACCTAGAAATTAAAAACAGCACCAGTGTTGCAGCAGGGAAGAGTGATGGTTTACAACCAATCGCCCATCAAACTGCCCTGGCTGCTGCAGCACGTGTCATTTAAGACCATTTTTCCCCCTTTTAAAATTATTATTTCATTATTTGATTATTTTAATTCTTTGTTGCTAACAGTTTTCTCATTTATCTCAAGGTCCAGGGACCTAAGTTTTGCACAGAAGGCCATAAGGGAACCCGGGGCGAGGAAGAGAAATCACTGGCAATGACAAGCTGTGGGAAGAGGGAGTGAGCTGGGGGGGGTGATCCTGCACCCCATGGTTGGTAAGTGGGTCCCTGTGCCCCTGAACTGCTTCCTTTGGGGGATGTTTGGCAGAGATGTGCCTGCTCCGAGCACTAAAGTAGGGAACTCAACAATATTTATGCCACTGTAGTGCAAGCTGTAAAATAACACCTTGGGGTATTTCTGTAGTGGAGATGATGGAATTGTTATTTCCTGGAAGTGTTTAAATAAAAAGGGTGGAAGGAGCAGTGGCAGCAGCCTTTGGGGCTGAGGCTGTCTCCAGCCTGGGGTCTGCTCCGTGGCAGGGTGAGTGCACATCCCCAGTGCCATCGTGTGCCACTGCCCCTGGCTTTACCATTCTCCACGGACGGAATAAATCAATCTGTAGAGCAATGACCGGTGGGAGGAAATCCTGCTTTCCAGGGAAGCTTGTCTGACCCACCCTGTGTTTGCAGGGACACCTCCCCGTGGCAGCATGGCCAGGATGAGGCCGTCGCCCACCCCACACCGCCACGTGTCCCCGGGATCTCGCCCGCCCCGCGGCCCTTCTGCCGTGCCGGAGGCTGCGGCCGAGCCCCTGCCGTGCTGCGGGACCCCCCGGCGCTGAGCCCCCGCCACGCCGGCATGGCCTCGCTCATCGTGGTGACTGAGCACGACGCCACGGCGAGCACGAGCGAGGAGGAGATGGACGTGCCCGGCAGCGAGGGCTTCGGGGACGGCCGGAAGCTGCACCTCTCCGGCCGAAAGCTGTCCCTGCAGGAGAGGCCGCAGCCGGCGCGCTCGCCCGGCAACGGCGACGGCGCCAACGAACGCTTCATCTACCCGTCCCTGCCCTACTCCCCGGTGACGTCCCCATACTCCTCCCCGCGGCTGCCACGGCGGCCCACGGTGGAGTCCAACCGCGTGTCCATCACGGGACTGCAGGTGAGGGGGTGAACGCTGCTCCCGTGGTTGTCCTGCCCCTGCCCTCCTGGATTTCCCCACCACAGTGTTGCTTCCGCTTGTTTTTTTGTCTGCATATGTGTGGCAGGAGGCAGTGGGACATCCCAGTCCATCCTGGGCCACGGGGACATCCCTTAGGAAGTTGAGACCTCCAACTCACTGTTTTTTGTGCCTTTTGCTGGCGCCACCAGCTCTCACGGCTGCGTTTTGGGGAAGCCAGGAGCTTACCGTGCTTCTCTTTCTCTCCTCCTTAAAAATAAAAAAAACAGAGAGATCCACTGAGATCTAAAGAGAAAACAGCCCTGCCTGCCCCCAGCCTGACAGAAAACAGGCAGCAAGCAGCTGCTCTGTCCAGAAGAAATAAAATTAGTCAGCGCCAAGTCACCAGCATTAAACCCCCGGGCTCTCCCAGCCCATTGCGCGCTCTCGTTCCCCGTGAGTGGTCAGTATCATTAACATTAGCAATTAAACATATATAAACACACCAGTGTGTGTGGGTCATGAATCAAAGCTGCCCAGCCCCACGTGGGTGCCCAGGCAGAGCAGGACGAGGGGTGAGTTTGTAGAGAAAGTTTTGCTGGAGATTTAAAAGGAGGAGAGCAAACCTGAGTGGTTTGGTGGCTCATGTCTAACCCCCCCTCTCTTCCCACAGGACTGTGTGCAGCTCAACCAGTACAAGCTGAAGGATGAGATTGGGAAGGTGAATATTGGCTGGGTTTGGGGTACAGTAGGGGGATTTGGGGTGGGAGGGTGTTGGGCTCACTTTCATTTTCCAGCCAATGAGGTGGCAAGTTCAGCCACTCACCGCAGCAGCTCTTTGTTGCCCCTGGTTTGTTCTGAGTGGTGCTGATTGAATTGTATATTTTTAAAATTATTATTAATTTTCCCCATGCCCCCTCCCTCCCAAGAAATGGGGCATTTGAAGCTTTTCTTTGCTGTTGGTGTGATGTCAGAGTGTACACCCCGCTCCTCCCAGCATTGCTCTGTGATCCCAGTGCAGGCGGGTTTGTGGAGGAGTCCAGAGCCCGGTTTGGTGATGTGGGTTTTTTTGAGTTGTCCCTAACTGATGCCCCATGGCTGTGCCCCTCTCCAGGGCTCCTATGGGGTGGTGAAGCTGGCCTACAATGAAGATGATAACACCTACTATGTGAGTAGTGCATGGGATTGGGATGGATTCCCTTCCAGCTGACCCCCTGTGCCAGCCCTATCCGACCAGTCCCATTTTGTCCTTGATTTGCCCTAAATTCCACGTGTTCCCCTCTTGCAGGCAATGAAGGTTCTCTCCAAAAAGAAGCTGATGAGGCAGGCAGGCTTCCCTCGTAAGTGGCACAAAACCTTTAGGGTGGGGGATGACTTGAGGGCCCCAGGGGATTGATCTCGACCGGACACCCCATCTTTGCCTTTCCCACAGGCCGCCCGCCGCCCCGCGGGGCCAAAGCTGCCTCCGAGGGCTGCCTGCAGCCCAGAGGGCCCATCGAGCAGGTCTACCAGGAGATTGCCATCCTCAAGAAGCTGGACCACCCCAATGTGGTGAAGCTGGTGGAGGTAAGTGCTGACCAACCCCTTCCCAAAATTCATCCTGAGCGGGCGGAGGGAAGCGACCGCAGAGGGACTGAGATGGCCATGGCAAGCCCTGCCTTTGGGAGACTTGTCTTTTCCTTGGTTTAAAAGGTTTTTTATTCTCATCTCCCAAAAGATGATTTTTTTTCTTCCCTGTCCGGAAGGGAAATGCAGAAAAATGTTGCTTCCTTGGAGGAAATAAGTGCTCAGATGGGTTTTGGGGAAGAACTGATGTTTCTGTGGGTTCAACAGTGCAGCTGCCTTGCCCTCCGCCCACTGCCTGTATGAAATGGTCCAGAAAATCAAGAATTAAGGATGTGCAGGCTGGAGTTTATTTGGCTCATGAGTCAGATGATGCTTCCTGTGTGTTTTAAATATTTGCTTCCTTGAAGTACAGCTACATCTCTGTCCTCCTTTTTTTTTCCCCACCCTTGTGGGTAGAAGCTCGGAGATGAGCAGACCGTGCTGATGGTGCAGATGGTGCAGAACTGAGATGGCTGCTAAATAAAATATCACAATGTTTATTTTGCAAGGGTTTTTTTTGGTGCTGTTTAATTGCCTTTCTACTTCTTTCGGCAGGTCCTGGATGACCCCAGCGAGGACCACTTGTACATGGGTAACTGCCCACTGCCCCGGGGGGTCAGAGGGATGGGGCAAAAGGTTCCTGATGTCTTTTGGGGTGGCTGCGTGTGGGGTTGGGTCTCTCCTTCACTGTGGATATAGCCTGGATGTGCTAGAGGAGCAAAGGGGATGCAGTCTGAGTTGTGAAGGGAGACAGGAGTGCTTTATAGCACTTTATTGGTTTTAATTCAATGTCAGGACATGCTTTGCCATGAAAGGCACCAGCATTGATTATTGTCAGCTTTGAAGCCAGGCCGATAGAAAGTAGTTTTATTTGTCTGGCTTCGAGAACAAGGCACAAGTTAATTATCCACGGTACAAATGAGCCCCTTCCCACCCTGTCTGGCAGACCACAGTGGTTTGCTTGATGCAAATATACACTTTTGGAGGCATTATTTCTATTTCATCATTTATGTTCAGCCTATATTAATGGAGGAGTGTGTGATGCCTTCATGGCCAAGCACAGAGGTTTGCTCAGGGCATGGGCTGGGACTTTTTGGTGGCAAACTGAGGGTTTTAGTGTGCCATGGAGGGCACTTCACGATGCTGAGGCTGCAGCACTGAGAAGGCAGTTGGCAGCATCCCCTTAACTGAAAATGGGAGCAACCGAAATGCCACGTACCTTGCATAAGACGGCATCTCCTTTTTAAAAATAACACATTATTTTTAGAATTTTTGTCATTAAAATAATTGCTTTTGTGCTGAGACTGTGCTCGGAGGAGCTCTACGCTGTAAGCAATCCATAATCACCTTCTCTTTTGCGTTGCAGTGTTTGAACTGGTGAAGCAGGGGTGAGTACCGAATTCCAGATTTAAACCTACTAATGCATGAACATGAGACAGGTTTGTGGGTGGCACAGCTCAGCCACCCGAGGTGGGTGTGGGGTGCAGAGGTGATAGGGAGGTTCATGGTGGGGCTCCTACAGGTTTGGGTTGTGTCTCCCCAAGGTAGTTATAGCTGTGTACATCCTGTATGTGCCTGTGTTTGGGGTTGTGTGTTGTCACCAGACTGTGGCAAAACCTCCAGGACCTATTTTGGCACATCCAGATGGAGAATGAACTCCATTCTCTGTTTGCTTTGCAGCCCCGTGATGGAAATCCCAACCCTGAAACCTCTCAGCGAGGACCAGGCTCGGTTCTACTTCCAGGATCTGATCAAGGGCATTGAATACTGTAAGTGTCTCTGCAAAAAGGATGGGAGCTGGACTTTTGGCTGGTGTGTGGTGCTGTTGTGCTGCTGCTGCATCACTTGTTTTCCCTTTGGCTGCAGTGCACTATCAGAAGATAATCCATCGGGATATTAAACCTTCCAACCTCCTCGTGGGGGAAGATGGGCACGTCAAGATCGCTGACTTTGGAGTGAGCAACGAGTTCAAGGGAGCTGACGCCCTCTTAACCAACACAGTGGGCACCCCTGCCTTCATGGCCCCAGAGACGCTCTCAGAAACCAGGAAAATTTTCTCTGGAAAGGTATTTAACAGCAATTTGAGGGGTTTTGGACTAGTCTTCCTCACACACACTGTTTCTTGTAGATCTAACGGGGCTTTCTTCACTCTGCAGGCTTTGGATGTCTGGGCCATGGGGATCACACTGTACTGCTTCGTGTTTGGGCAGGTAATGACATGGATTTTTCAGTGCTGTTGGTGTTCTGGGGGGTTTGGTGAGTGCCTCCCGTGTTCCAGGTGCGTGATGGGATGGGCACCCCCATCCCTGTTTGAGCCAAGTGGAGATGGGGATGTGCGGACAGAAATGAGGAACCTCTGCCTGTCCCTGTGATGGATGCAGCCAAAAGGGCTGTGTTCTCTTTTTCCCCAAGTGAAAAAATTCTGTGCCTGGGCAGATTTTTTAGGAAAGAAGCTCTTGTAGTAATTGGTAGTTTTTGGTCAAATGTTATTTTCACTGCATTTAAAAGTAGACATTGATATAATAGGAAATGTTTTGGAATTTCCCTATAACTGGATCCTTGCTCTCCTTCAAACCCTATGAGATCCTGATGCTCCTCTGGCTGCCCCACTGCTGCCTCTTAACAGAGGTCGTTGCTTTCCTCACTTCTCTTTTTCTTCAATAGTGCCCTTTTATGGATGAAAGGATCCTGAGTTTACACAATAAAATCAAGACCCAAACGTTGGAGTTCCCAGACCAGTAAGTACTCAAAAATAAAAGCAACCCATCAATCCTTACTTTACAACCCAGTGCCTGGGTAGGGCTGGCCCTGCTCTGCTGTGGTTTTGCAAAACTCAGGCTCTGAGCCCTTCTATTGGCCTTGGACCTGGAAATGTCCTTTGCATTAAACATGAAGGCAACAACTCCTGGTTTGCAGTTGCCGCAGAAGAAGTAATTGAAGTTGCAGAGGTGTTTAAGGGAATGGATTAACCTCTGCAGTTACTGCCTGTTGGGTTTTAG